CAGAATCAATGCATGAAAATCATACTCAGCAAACAGACAGTGTCATATTGGTTGAGAGAGCAGGTAGGCACCAATCTGCATGCCAAGTTCATGATCACTGCTAACATTGTCAAAGCTCTGTGAGAGGGTTCCTTTGTAGGTGTGCACTGTTCTGCAAACATCCTTCATCTTGCAGTGAAGTATTAAATTCAAGGAGCCAACACAAAGGTGTAAACCATATTTGAGTATTGCAGGAAGATTGCCCTCACTGTAGTGTCAGGGCTAGCCAACTATTAAGGCAAGAACAAGACAAACAAGGGCTGCTTACACACAGTCTATGACAGGATGTCAGTCATGCTGGAAAGATTTTTAGGCAAACCATAGTTTATCTTTCCACCACTCCATTTGCATTGACTCCTAACTGGGGTGTAATGATTTGACAATGGTAGGGCATCTTGTGCCAGTTCTTATTCCATTTAGGGGCATGACAGAAAATTTGAGCTACACAAATGCCATTGTGGAACATACCCTATATATGTGTTCATACCCTTGTTCACCCACCTCAGAAACAAAATGGATGCCTTCCTGCAAAACAGGGAATTCATTTTTTGTGGAACATTCCACACTGATGTAGCAGCATAAACCTGAAAAATCTACTCAATGTTCATGTTCACAAATTAATTGCTAATTTACCAGAAATGCTAGCTTCCCTGCAAGGTCCTAGGATTGAGGGGAAAGTGGTACTTTGATCCAATGGCTAGCATACTGAAGAGACAGATTTAATAACATGCTCCATGATTTGAAGCACAAGAGAGGCATGCTGGTTGAGGAAGATGTGCGCCTCCCTTCAGCAGCATAACCCTAAGATTGCAGAGTGGAGCAGATGCTTTTTGGGAGAGACTGTTGGCAGTTTGGGGGGAGAAAGTAACTCAGCAAGCAGCTAAAAGGAATATATCAATGCCTCTGAATTGGTTAGATCATACCTGTGTGAACCTACTTTGCCACCTACTGATGACTGTCTGAGCTATGGTAATGAGAAGAAGAGTGTGATCTGTGTCTGTTTGCCCAGCAACTATTATCATGTCCACTGATGAATTTTCAAAGTAAACATGTGGTTTTTTTTTGTTTTTTTTACAGGGAACATTCTGACAGGGCCTTCCTCAAGTTCAATCTACCCTGTTCTTCACTTTGATACTTGAGGCATCATCATCTGCTAGCTGAGATTAAATTAGTCACTCAACCTTCCCTTCAAAGTTGTTTTTAAATTAATATGTTATCAGAGAAAAAAATCCAGATTGGTTTCATCCAAGAGACACATTGGAAATGGTCGGCACCTCAGAAATGGGGGGGAAAAAAGTTTCAGGTATCCCTAGAAAATAATTAAAAAAGTGGGGTTGCGATAGTTTTCGATGTTAAATTAAAATTAGAGGCATTGTTTCAGGATTCTGACCCGTCAGGTAGATTTTTAGTACTGGTTTGTAAGATAGCAGAAATAATTTACACTCTTGTAAATGTCTACTTACCTAATGTAAATCCAATGTCTACATTCTCAAAAATTATGAATAGAGTAGAAAAAATATCAAAAGGCGTATTCAAAATTGATGGTGATTTTAAGTGTGTTTTTGATTTAACAATAGATACAAAATGTCACTTTCAGCTTAAATCAGACAAAGCAATTTTAAAACAATGCATATGGATTATATGATGTCTGGAGAACTATGTATCCGGAAGGCCGAGACTACACACATCTGTCTAAAGTATTCTTATATATGTCTAGGTCTAGGTAAAGCCAGCACAATTGAAAACATTAATAAAATACAATTTAAAGAAAATACTTGGTCTGATCATAGTTTTGTAATACTAGAACTAGGTAAACCTATGCCCCAGGGATTAAGTACTTGGAGGATAGATAATTCCATATCGAAATCAAAATAAAATAAAAAAAATTGATGGAATTATCTAGCTTCTTTTGAAATGAAAACGCCTCTCCAGATATTTTAGATTCCACATTATGGGCCACTTACAAAGTAGTGATGAGAGGTTACTTAATTAACATTAAAAAAACTGTTGAAAAAAATCCTCTTGTCTAACCGGGCAACATGCTCATTTTACTTTATCCCCATATATTTCTACCTCACCGGCATTTTGCCGATATATACATGCGTTCCATTGGTGGAACGCATGTATATTATAGGATGCGACAATCACGTGACGCGGAAATACCCTCCGCGTCACGTGATCTTCACCCGGCCGACATCCTACCTTACAGTACATGCGTTCCAATGGTGGAACGCATGTATCTTATTGGGCTTGGAAATCACGTGACGCGGAAGTAATCCCACGCCGCGTCACGTGATTTCCATTCAGCAAATATTCATTTTATCCATTTTATCTCATTTTTATATTTTAAACATATAAATTGTATCTATTTTGAAATATATTGTCAATGTTACTACTGCTACTCTGTTTTGATCTGTATTTTACAAACTTTAATCCATGATGATATCATTTTGGCGGGAATATTCAAATTCCAGCACATTTAACATACCCTATATAAAGCATTACTAGTCAGGTTATTGTATTTATTATATTCTACTTGAAGAAGCCTGTTGTGGGTGAAACGCGTTTAGAATCTATTTTAATATATTTTATACTGTAATAATAAAGGAATTCTGGCCTCATATATTTCATTGACACATTCCTGTTTTTATTATAACTTTTATCTTTATACCTGACTTATTTGAACCATTACAAATCTAAAGAAAATCCTTAGGTGGGGATTATACCACCCATACGCCTAAAATTGAGCAGAGAGGATTGCTCAATACACTGTGAGTATATTTTCATATTATTTATATACTCAATCCCAAAAAAACAGTGAGCACTATATATCTTATCTGCTTAAATTTCCGGTTGGACTCCTTGGTGGATCATCAAACTTTCAAGAAAGAGCTCCATATATCCTTGAGTGGGGATCATTCCACTTCACGCACTTCATACCAGAGCTGGATTTTAGCTCTGTAAATTGTGAGTAATTTCATTTATTTTTTAATATATACCCACCTATACAGACATACTGTACCATTGGCTGTTCCTTTTATTTCTTCACATATCACCCACTGAAAATATTGAAAATCATCATCTGGGACGATACCACATCACGTTACAAGAACATTCTGTGGACTATAATATCTGGACTCTTTTTTCTCATTTTTACCGTACATTTTTATTGTTATATTTTATGTACTTTTATCAAGGAGCGCCCTATTCCTCTTGATTTTTCTACTAATGTTTTTTATACCTAACCTCCGATAGACTGTAAGCTCATTTGAGCAGTGTCCCGTTAAACCTATCGTTCCTGTGAGTTTTCTTGTAATTGTCCTATTTATAGTCAAATCCTCCCTTTCATAATATTGTAAAGAGCTACGGAATCTGTTGTCACTATATAAATGTTGATAATAATAATAACTCTGTAATACCCCACACAACATGGGTAATGGCAAAAGCTTCATCTAAATGTCTCTCCCACTGGGAGGCAAACGCTAAGATCCTGATGCGCTGGAACCTGGTCCCCAGCAGACTAGCGCGGATATACCCATTGGTGACAAACAAATGCTGGAGGTGTGGGAGGGCAGAGGGCACTATCCAACATATTTTCTGGGAATGTGCCCGACATTGGGGATTTCTGGAAACAGATTGCAGGAATAACATGTCATCTCACAGAGATTATGTTATCCTTTACATCAGCATGCTTTATACTAAACTTAAACGACCACTCTAGGCACCCAGACCACTTCAGCTTAATGAAGTGGTCTGGGTGCCAGGTCTAGCTAGGGTTAACCCTTTTTTAAATAAACATAGCAGTTTCAGAGAAACTGCTATGTTTATGTTAGGGTTAATCCAGCCTCCAAATCCTCTAGTGGCTGTCTCATTGACAGCCGCTAGAGGCGCTTGCATGATTCTCACTGTGAAAATCACAGTGAGAACACGCAATCGTCCATAGGAAAGCATTATGAATGCTTTCCTATGAGACCGGCTGAATGCGCGCGCAGCTCTTGCCGCGCGTGTGCATTCAGCCGAAAGGGAGGAGAGGAGGCGGAGGGGAGGAGGAGAGCTCCCCGCCCGGCGCTGGAAAAAAGGTAAGTTTTAACCCCTTCCTCTCCCCAGAGCCAGGCGGGAGTGGGACGCTGACATTATACAGGAAGATTAAATGCTGCCTTTGGCAGAAATTATGTCCAAATTTCAACTTCCTAATAAAGAGCTATTTACTTTTTTAAGAATAAACAGTTTTCTAAAAAAGGTCTTATTGAAAAATTTGAAAATAATTACTAATCTAACAGAAACAATATTCTCATATAAAAAGCTGACCTCAAAAGCTAACAAACTAATATTTTCCATTAATAATAAACCTTTAAAGATTTTATATACATGGAAAAATCTATTAGATTTGGAAATAACTGAAAAGGAATGGTGCCGTTCATTCAAAGGCATACAAGAAAACATTAATTGTTTAAACTTAGTATGTATAAATGGTACCTGACAAAAATGTAAGATGTACATATTGTTTGCAATGTGGTGTTTAGATGGTTCCTTTTTACATATTTGGTGGCACTGCAAAATGGTTAAACCATTATGGATTTAGGTGTATAGTTTGTTTAAATCTATAGTAAATTTACACTTAAAATGGAAACCAAAAGTGGCTTTATTACATCTCAAGTGTGATTTAGCATCAACTCCTTTAAGGTGTTTAGCTATGCATTGTTTATTAGCAACCACAATCACAATAGAAAGACATTGGAAATCAAATCTTTCTTTTATTTTTTTTATTTTTTTTAAAACCTCTTAACAGATTATTTAACATATATATCAATAACATATGGAGAGAGATTTATCTAGTTCCTATTTGTACTCATATAATAAACAAGAACTATATGATAAGTGGTTAAAAAAATATAATTTTCTTGTTCAAGATATGTACGTTTCTTCTGAAAAATTGTATTAATAAGAGTGTGTGTATATATATATATATATATATATATATAATACACAAGATCCAGCGCACTCACCTATCCACTAAACAGCAACTTCAATGTTGAAAGATTTTATTTGTTTTTTTAAAAACACCTAATCTAGGCAAAAATAATGGGGGTTTAGTTACATTATATGATCATACATTGCATAAGCCTGCCACAACGTCAATGTACCCCATCTTTGGCAGGTCCTACACTAACAGCCTAATGTCTGCTCTTATGAGATTAACCTACTTGGGGAAAGAAATTCCATCTGAGGCTCTCTGCAGTACAAGGCTAAATAGGGCCCTGGGATGAGGCACCTGTGACAGGGAGGGGTGCAAAACCAAGGAGTTGGCTAGACTCCCAAATATATATAAAACAAGAGGGGGTTGGCTGCACTCACCTTAACATGCATAAATGGGGGTGCTGCTGGGGGCCAAATAATACAATACACAAGATCCAGCGCACTCACCTATCCACTAAACAGCAACTTCAATGTTGAAAGATTTTATTTGTTTTTTTAAAAACACCTAATCTAGGCAAAAATAATGGGGGTTTAGTTACAGTATATGATCATACATTGCTTAAGCCTGCCACAACGTCAATGTACCCCATCTTTGGCAGGTCCTACACTAACAGCCTAATGTCTGCTCTTATGAGATTAACCTACTTGGGGAAAGAAATTCCATCTGGGGCTCTCTGCAGTACAAGGCTAAATAGGGCCCTGGGATGAGGCACCTGTGACAGGGAGGGGTGCAAAACCAAGGAGTTGGCTAGACTCCCAAATATATATAAAACAAGAGGGGGTTGGCTGCACTCACCTTAACATGCATAAATGGGGGTGCTGCTGGGGGCCAAATAATACATATATATATTAACAGTCCCAGATTCATAAGCCTTTTTATGAAGTATTAATTAGTAAGGGAAAAGAAAGAAAAAGGAAAGAAAGGAAAGAAAAAAAGAAAGAAAGAAAGAAAGAAACAAAGAAAGGGAACTGGAAAGCACATATAAATGTTAAGGAAAAGGGAAGGGGGAAAAAAAGAGAGAAAGAAAAAAAAATTGAAAAATAAGAAAGATAATAATGCCCTAATAACAAACTAGATACGCATGATATCCCTGGTCTGATCATATTTCTTGGTTTTTTTTTTCTGGTTTTCTTTGTACTTTTTGTTTTGTGAATTATGTGTGTGATGATTTTAAAGAACACTGTATAGTTTTGGAATGGAAATATGTATTAGGAGACTTGTTTTATAATATATTGAAAGGAGAAAAGAAGTAAGCCATTTACTAATATTCTATAGTGTTTTCTATGTACAATATGTTTGTTTGTCAACTTTTTGAAAAAATCTAAAAAGGCTCAATAACAAATAATTTAAAAAAGAAAAATTAATATAAGTATTCTAAAATATGATGGTGATTAAACAATTTTCAAGTTACATTATTTGTGCTGTGGTGGTTCCTCCTTATCTGAAATGCCTTTCAAGGCAATGGCTTTGAACCTTCCTAGCTGAGTCTTGCAGTGCCTGCTAACTCGACAGATGCAGTCAGAAGAAGCTGGTAGGGCACTGGTGGAAGGTCACTGATGCTACAAACTGTGTAAGAAAGTGTTTTCTTGTCATGTTGGAGGAGGGGAGGGGATGGTAAATGGCTTACTTCTTTACTCCTTTCATTTTTTGTATACATCAATTTGTTTAAATTCTACTTTCATTAATTTAAGATAGCAAAAGTAAAAATATTAGAATCAATTATTATAAAACTAAATTCTCTTACTTGCATTTTTTTCAATCCAGATATAATATAATTGTGGCAACTCAGAATTAGGCCAGGCAATATTGCAGCCATATTTGTGTGGCAGCACAGTCACCGTTTTTTGTATTTTTTTGGCTGCTCAAATTTTCTTCCCAAATTTATATTCAGTATTCGGTATTGGTAGTGGCATGCACTAAATGAAATAGCTCAGGAGAAGCACAATTTTTCACTCTTCACAAGTATAGTGAATACACACATTTATGCATTAATATGTTGGTTTCTAAGAAGGGATCTTTTCCAGGGACATTGTTAAACTTCGATTTATTATGTTAATATTTAGCCTTAAATTGTCAAGGTTAGTTACTAAAGTAAAAATTCATAGTGATTTTCACATTTATGGTCAAGAGAGATGAACTGGAGAAATTCTCGAACGCTATGGTTAATAATTAGGCTACTTTTGTCATTATTGTGAAATTTGTTAATGTGGAGTTCACTTTAAATTCTCACTTTAGTAAATAACCCTGTCAGTTTCAATGTAATATTAATTCAGCTAGAAAGTTAGGTTTTTCCTCAGAATAAATAGCTCATATTTTTACAGTTTTCATTTTCCAACCTTATTCTACTCAAATGCATTTTTTAATTTTCTCCCTAATTTTACAAGCATTTAAAACCATAACTAAACAATTTAAATATTCTTCTCTTTTTTACCACAATGTTGATTAAACAAGGCAATATCACGCAGAAATTCCCCACAATGTATTTACTGTGCTGCTGATTTGGTGACAGTATCAGTAGGTTGCTTACAGAGGGGACGTTAAGCCATGAGCAGTTGTACATTTATCATCTGATATATCATTATCTAACATTCTACTCTTTGTTACATTTTGGGAGTTGTGTTACATTAATTCTGAACATATACACTGCTGATACTATTTAACTGCTGGATGAGATCCTACTAACTGTTAGACTGTCTGACATTGATATATATATCAATATATATACTTATTATATATATTGAGTGTGTATTTGGACTGAGAAGAGGTGAACTACTTACCCAACATGCTCTTTGCATGTTTCTTTATTTAATCCTTGCTGATTTTTATTAGGTTTTATTCATTTTCTGTCTTATGCCATATTATAGTTTTCTTAAACGTTTTGGGTCTTTATTTCATTTTATCTATTTTAATCTATATATTGGATGTATGCCTTTTTTCATTCTTTTTTTCCCCACCCCTACTCCCCTCTATTAGCAATTTACTATTCCTTGCAGTCTTCTCTTCTTTGTAACTTTTGTCTCTTACCTGCAACTTATATTATTGTCCCATTACTAAAATGCATGAAAAGGACTTTCACAAATGCTGAGCTCACCACATTGACAACTGACATCACCTGCATCTACCATGTCCTAGTCCCTCTCTCCCCAGCCATGATGTCAAATGTCTCTATGCCTCCTGAGCCATAACACAGCTCATATTTTAGTAGATTCATCATACACTTTTATGCCTAGATAAAATAAAACAAAAAAAAAAATAAGCAGACACATACCAAATATTTTATTTATTACCAACATATCCTAAAACAAGCATAACAATTCCCAAAGTTCTGTTATTATTTGAGTCACATGTTCAAGATATGCATGAATAATTGAAAGGCAAATATGCATAATAATAAGCACAAACATTTAAATATATGTTTATTTTAACAGTAATGACCTCTGTTTATGAACACAGTTTCACAGGCATTTTCTTTTAAAGTAATTAGAAAATATATATCTTTTGCAGTTAGTACTGTCTCTTCAGATGTGGGAGGCATGTCCCTCCGAAACTTAAGGATAGATTTCCAATCAGATTGAGGGTAATATATCAAGCTTCTTGGGAACATGCAACAATGAAATAATCATCCAGAGGGAGATGAAATATAATGTGGGGGAATACAACAATAATATTCTTTTGCTAAGCTTTGACTTTGTGGTTTTGTCATGTACTGTGAACAGTTGCATAATTTTCATTAGTTTTGTGAAATTCCATCTTTTTTGTATAAATCACAAAATTGGCAGAGATTTTTTTGATTCATGTTTAGATTTAGAAGACTCAAAAGAAATAAATGTTTTCAGCTCTGCTGTATTAATAATAACTGTAAAAAAAATCAATATGCAAAATTACCAAATTTACATTGACATATTTTTCCATGGACACTGCCAATCTCGCAACAAAATTAATTAGTATTAAAAAAAAGTTTGTTTAATATCAAAACTATCTACAACATTTTACCACATATTGTATAGTACATATAGTAACCAATAAAGTGTCCATGATGTCAATTTACTAAACAGTGAGTTATGTTGAGTTGGGGACTGTTTTTACAGTTTTTTCAAATTCATTATTTTGGTCTAAATGTTTTAAGTTAAAAATTAATTGTTTGAGGACTGTATGATTAGAATCTATTGTGTGATACCACAACTGATAAGTCAGTAAAAATATTTTCTGAATATTTTCTTTTTTAAAATAAAACCTCTACATGGCTGTTATTAATGCAAGAATTGTCTTAGATTGACTTAGCTTGACTTAGCAAACTGAATTCGCAACTACTCCTATTTTTCTTTTAGTAGGTATTCCTGCGTACATTAATAATAGAACATGACAATAGAACAAATAACAATGGTTTTCTGAAGTTTTGTCATTCATTTCGTCATCAAGACATCATTTTACAAACATCTTATTTTGAATGGTGCTTTACCATTTCCTCAAGGAATTTAGAATGATTATTAATTATACATGAATTCTTATTCCCAATTCTTCCTAAATCCAACTTCTATTGCACTCTGATGAGTGTGACTCGTCTAGCTGCTCCATATCTTCTGAACCCCCTCCATTATTTATTAAACATCCTTTCTATTACAAAATATTTTATGTCAGTCTTAACTGCCTTATTTTTAGATAAAACAATGCCATTTTTCCCTATCCTTGAAGAAAAATCTTTTTTCCTACGTGCAATCATGTTATTTGGCTTTGGACTTTCTTACACTTCAGAAGTATTGACGCATACCTTTGAAAAATGTTGACTATTTTTATTAGGCTGTTATTAACCAACGCTTTGAATAAAAACAAATGTTGCATTCCAAGTTTGAAATCCTGGGAACTCAGGATTTCTTTCATATCTGTATTATCTCTTCTAAAAGAAATTAGAAATGTGAGGATGTTTAAATCATGAGGACAATGAATACTTTTTATTTCCAAATATTAAAACCACAAACTATTGCAAATAAGGAACAAAAATGGCTAAGTATCCAGGGTGTTTAAAGACAAATACCCCTTAATTTCAAATCTCTCTAACCCTAAATACACTATTAATATTTACCTCCCCTAACTTTAACACTAAATACCCCTAATACTAAAGAATCTCAAACCCACAATCGTAAATCAGAGCAGCAGCACCATAATTGGCACAATTGTTAACCTTTTTTAATGGTAGTGTTATGCCATATTATTCTGTGGAATAAAGTGTCACTTCTGCATTTCTGTAATGACAGGCAGTGTTTAACATGTGCTTTTTCGCAACATTTTAAATGCATTCAGACATTGAAGACAGCCACGGATCCCAAGTTTTATGTAGACCACCCCCCAGAGAGAGCTCC